GGATATTAGTGAAATAATAAAGCAACTTTCTAAGATTTTATAATTAATATTTATCTGGTTATCCCCCATTTTTATCCCTCTGATTTAGGAAATTTATATTATATCTATAGTTCTTTTTAAATTTTCGAATTTCTAAATACCATTTTTGCGCTATAATTAAAAATGTACTGTTGCTCCTTATCTGGCACATATTAAAAGTACTAACTTCAAAGACCCGTAATATTGCGGAGTGTTTCACGAAATTTGAACAAAAGGTGGTTTATATTGCAAAATAACTTTTTTTTCTTAAGATTTGTTCGAAACTTTTACTATTTGAAGATAATGATATTCTCTATACATAACGTGTCATTTCGAAGAGGGGGGAGGGAAGATAATCAAGCATATTCATATAGAGAAGATAATTGAAAATTATATAATTAAAATACTGATATTTTTTGCATGTTCATTTTAATATCATATTCTTTCAATATCATATTCAATGAATTTGCATTAATAAGGTTAGATCATTAGATCACATAATAAATTTTAGCTACGTTAGGGATTTCACCTTTCATTCACTGATTATCAGTGGCATACTTGACGAGATTATCCATTAATTCAGATTTATAGAGTAGTAATATTCGGTCACTCACACACACACACACACACACACACACACACACACACACACACACACACACACACACACATACACATATCGATACGATGCACTGAACAGGGTTGTGATAGAAATTGCATTGATCTGCAAAATAAAAATATACGTATCTAATTATAGCAACGATTAAAATAATTTATAAATATCTAGAAAAATCATTATTATCTGTGCGTACAATGATTACTTCCGTAACAAGTAACAATGAATGAAAAGATAATTATTTACTCATTCCATTGTTATTATAGCGCCGTCACTCGATTCCACTTATAGACTTCGAGGCTCTTCTCATTGTTAGATTCCTTCATTGCTTATTCGTACACGACACAACATAACTCTCGCAAAAACACGGTCGCGCATGTTAATCATTGCAATAAAATAATCGCTCGTACTTTGCACGGCACTTTCGATCATTACATGACGCGCTACCTGCTGACTCAAGTATCGCCACATGAATGACATCTCGACTTGTAATAATCTTGCGTACCCAAACAAACGTTACAAGGTCGTACACAATTTAGTCCCGCCGACATGCGTTTAACGTATCCTGGAAAATAATTGTACGTTAAACATTCCGTTTTTTTTTTAAATTATATTAAATTTTTAATAGAGATTCAAACGAAAACTAATAAGTGTTAATAACTGGATAGTGAGAGCGCATTACTATAATATATTGTTGACAATATTTCATATTCGATTAAATACAAACTGATTGATGTGTGAACATTTCAGTTTCTTTCAAGCCATCTTCAGCAATGTTGAGTATAATTAATTTTCTTTCAATGTCTATACATAAAATTGAATCCGCAATTCTTAATCCGCAATTGTTGAAATTTAATTTCTAAAACCGACAGAGGATAAACTTTTTCTTACTTTACAGTTGAGAATTTTGTCTCTCCGCTGCTTAATCAAGTGATTATGAACGAGTACAATAATGATACTCGTAAATTTATTTGAATTTATTTATGATGAAATGATATAAGTTTATATTGTTCAACTCATCCTCTATCCTCCTTAATAGATCATAACCAGTAATTCCATATTCAACATGTCATATGAAATTATTGGAAAAATTTTATGTATCGACGTTGAAAGAAAATTAATTATATCAACATTACTGACAATGATTTAAAAGAAATCGAAACGTTCAGACATCAATCACACATCAATTAGTTGTATTTAACCAAATGTGAAATTGTCAACAATATATTACATTAATTGCGCTCCAACTATCGCGATGTAATAATACTCTCACTGCCCGATTATTAACATTTATTAATTTTTGTTCCGTTTTTTCTATTTCAAATTAATTATTAATATATAATCGATATAACGCAGTTTCTCGTTACTAGAATAACTTGATCAGGTGATTTGTATATTATTCCGCTCTATTAATCACTAAATAATAGGCAAATTATATTTAAATCATAAATTCAAAATACGATACGAGCTTTATCATATTCAAAAGGTATCGCTAAATACATTGCGATGTGTACATAATTAATTACCCCATTATCACGAAACAATAGTTTATTATTCCCGTTCTCTATTCCGTTCCATACAATTCCTATTCCGAATAAAATAAATTACACAAAATATTTTTGCGATAAGCAATAGTCATCTCGATACATTTACAAATCCTTAATTATGTGGTCTAATAATCATTTTATTCTAATTCTTTGTTGGCAATGTATAATAAAATTTTCATCTTTCGTAACCTGAATCTTCGAACTTCAAATTCTTATTATTTCAGTGTATAAAAATCTGAAAAAATTCTTACATACTTGTAAAAGCTTTGACAATGAGATTTCACTACTATAGAAGTTGGATTGTATTTTAGTTATTTTTTATAGATTTAAATTTATCAACCAGAATTCAATCCAAAAATCGACTGTATTTTTAAAGTCCAATATTGCCGGCGGAGGGCTTAGTAATCATGTAATATGACGGTGTTTAATATTTTCTAATATTTACTTGTCGCGATCACATTTCGAAGAGTAATAACGCGATGACACACGGAACGATTCTCGCAACAACCTGCCGGTTCGAGTTTCAATGTGCAAATGGTGACGACCTTGCGTAAACACAACGCGCTGTATACACAGTATACAGAGCAATAACGAATACCAAGGCCGCATTGTTATTGCCATCAGCAGGTTGCTATTGCTTCGAAAAATGTAAAACTTTATAAAATAAAATCATGCAATATTTCATTTATTATATTTCAAAGATAGGCCGTTATCGCATATTTTGCGTCTTGTTTTATGAATTAGTGTTGCCTAAGGTATAATTCCATTCGATCAAAAGTAATATTTTGAAATAAAAATATTATTTAAATTTTAATTAATAAGACAATTTCAATTTGATTGTTATGTATGTAAATATTAAGGACACAGCGGATTTGTCGAATAACCGGATATCATCCGGCAAAATCGGATAATCAGATTTTTATTCAGAAATTTCACAACAACAATGAAAAATTGAAAATTGTTTATTAAAATAAAAAGAGAATCTTTTTGTGTAAACTATTATAAATATGCTGTACAAATTTAATATTTATACAGAAGATGGAAATAGATTATTGTCTGATAACACAGAAATGTTCATATTTCTTATGGAAAATGTAAAATATTTAAAAAATAATATGTAGCAAAAATATAATATGCAAAGAATAAAAAGATAAAAATTATTTTAATTTAATTTTTTAATTATGTTACATTACATTACATAACACAATACATTAATTAATACTTAAACATTAATAAAAGAATATGTAATTTATAGATTGGCCAGATATACATATGTATAATATAATATTTTGAGAATTTATATTTTAAGTATGCATAATTATTTCTATTCAAATTGTAGAAAACGACTTTTTCACAAGGGCCAGATGATCGAATTATAAAAAAATCAGCCAAATTGGTTCGATAATTGCTGGATATTCGTTGTATTCCTAATATACATATATATTACTTATATAATAAAAAATAATTAATTGTTACACGCGAGTTATTCAATTTTTATTTTTAATGATAATTCAATCAATTGCTCTATTTCAACAGATTATTAAACCTGTAATTATTTACAGATTAAAGTTTATTTTCGTGTTGCTCGGTAAACAATTAGAATGTTTTACAAATTTGATAGATGTATCCCAGACTTTTTATGAAAATATAATATTTAGTGGGCCTGTGCGCGCACAGGTTCACAAAAAAAAGTAGGGGTGGAGACCCAGCTATTCTTATATATATATTTTGAGTGAATACTTTTCGCTGAATACGAATCTCTGACATAAAAATAGGATCATCCAGGAAAAATTTTCAATCTAGAGCGAAAAAATGACCCATTTTTTCTCATTTTTTTACTCATTTTTTTGCTCTAGATTGAAAATTTGCTCTGGATGGTCCTATTTTTATGTCAGATTCGTATTCAGCGACTCAAAATACATAAGAATAGCTGGGTCTGCACCCCAGGGTACTTTTTTTTGTGAGTCTGTATTATTGAAGTTATAAAATAAAACTCAGATTGTCTTTTCTTCATCTCATGTAATTCCCATTAAATCGCAGTTATAAATATGATATTAAATTGATTCTCAAGATCTATTTAATAAATCGTATCTCAAGATTCTAGTTAACTTCTTTAACGGAAACGCAATTATAAATATAAGTATAAATCTTGCTAAACATTGAACTTCTCCGTAATTATTTACAAGCTCGTTGATCAATTCGACGACAGAAGTTCGTCGCTACATGCGAGGAGGACACGAATGGAAAGCTGTGCCGTACACGGCGCAGAATCAATTTGGCATGTACCTCAACGTCAAAATTGCATTATGGTCGATCGTAATTTCGCAAGCAGGACACAGGTGTGTGCTCTGCGGGAATATCGATGACGAGATAGCGAAATAGCGAGTATACAACAAAGGGACTCGCGAAAATGAAATTTGCGTTCACCGCAGTGCGACGTATGAGAGAACAATTCGTCATTTGCCCATTTCATCCCTTTTAATTATTTTTCTGGTGATGCTAAATGCAAAGCTACCTTCATTAAAATTCAGCGATATATAAAATTATTCCATTATTGAAAATCTCTCTCAAAACTTCAACAGCAGTTACTGACGGTTTTAGAGCTAATTTTTTTTTTTTTTTTTTTAAGAAATGTATGAAATATCAATAATGTTGAAGCTATAATAAACATCATAAATAAAGCTTCTACAATTAAATAATAGTACTTACAAATTTACATTGAATTTTCGAGTTTTATTTTTTGAAATAATGAAGACAAATAAGATATTATAATAAATACTTGATAATACATCGACTGTGACTGTCTACGCTTTGAAAATTATTTAATCATGATAGCTGCTTAATAACTCAAGTTTGACATCGATCGAAAACGCAATAGTAATAAAATTTTCAGTTTGTCAAATCTTTAATTTTAACCAATCGCATACGTAGCTCATATCTAAAAAAAAAAAAAACATACACGTACGCAACCCTCCGAAAATTCTATCAAACGCGCGCAGCTCCTTCGTCAGCCTCGTCGCCGGCGTTTTCCTATACCACATGCTAAGGTTTATTTCCACATCATAAGACCATCATGAAAACCGCGAAAATCAGAGCGGCTGGCGACGGCCGATAAGTCGCTATAATGGAGATAAATCGAAAAGTGCATCGGCTCGTGAAACAGCGCGCTATCCAGACCAACCTTCATGTTGCCCCCCATGAAAAAGCTTCTGCGCAAGGACGAGCTCCAGCGGCTATAAAAGCCCGCACGAAACTCATTCGCTTTCCAGTCACGTTTAGAACGGCCTTTCAAGTGACAAAAAAAAAAGAAAAATTAAGAAAAAATTCTCGAACTATTTGAATTACGTGCTTATCAAGTCGACGGAAAGAGAGAGAGAGGGGGAAGGAGGAGAGAGAGAGAGAGAGAGAGAGAGAGAGAGAGCGAAAAAAGAGAAACGTGCAATTTTTGGAATTCAAAAGAGATTCGTTTTGAGTAAATAGATCGAGAAATGTAGATCGTCCAAAATAGTATACTTCTAAATAAAAGAACCTATCTATACTTCACATTTCATGTTTACTTTTTTTCTTAAAATTTATTTTGAAGATTCAAATGCTGAATATTAAATTTTATTTTATATTTTACTTTTATACTTGAATAATATTATCTATTTAAAAATCATTAATTATCAATATATTAATTATCTAGAATTAAAAAAATTGTTTTCGAACTTTTATTAAAGCTAAATCCCTAAAGTTTTTACTAAATTCTTTGTGGATATAGTGACTCGTATCAGTGTATTCAATTTTATTTTACTTTAAACCGAGATCAATGAGCAAGGATGAGATTAAGCGATCTGAAAAACAGTCGCATGATCACCATCGTAGTGGTCTATCTCAGCCTCTTCCTGGATAATGTCCTGTTGACGGTAGTCGGTAATTACAACTAACCCGAGAGAAAGACGAAGAGGACAAATCACGGACTAAACAATTCGCTGATTCGGACATGTTTCAGTGCCGATTATCCCCGATTACCTGTGCACGCTCGACGCGAATACGACCTCGAACATCGAAGAGGACGAAAACGGTCGAGTGGGATTATTGCTAAGCTCAAAGGCTCTGGTCCAATTAATTTTGAATCCGGCCGTGGGCATTCTCACCGGTACTCTAGGCTATGCCAGACCTCTGTTCCTGGGAAATCTCAGCCTCTTGCTGGCTGCTCTACGTAAGTTACAGACGAGCTTTCATCCGTATCTGTGCTTTTTCAACGAATGGAATTCCGTGTTCATCCCTGATTCTCATTTCATGATTTCAGGCAAAAACGTTGTTTTATTATAAATAAAATGAAGTAAAAAATGAAATATCAGTTAAATATTGTTACAAGTTGAATTTAAATTAAAAAATTTTTCGATTATTTTGTGAAATTTAAATTTGTTTTTACAAAATTACCGTTTGCTTTCACGAAACTACCATTAATTTAGTGCCTGAAGTTAAAGACTTGAAATAAAGTTCAAAGGAACTTCTATAAACTCGAATTTTCATTGTGTCGTAGTATTCGCTTTTGGACAAACATACGAAATATTATTCTTGGCCCGGAGCATTCAAGGTATAGCTTCAGCGTGTATAGCAGTTTCCGGCATGTCATTGGTCGCCTCTCAATACTCGGAGGAAGATGAAAGATCTAAAATCATGGGTTTCGTTCTTGGTAGCATCGCCTTAGGCGTTCTTTTAGGCTATCCGATCGGTTCCGTGCTCTACGATCTCGAAGGAAAAATGGCACCATTTCTATTGGTATCCAGTCTCATTATTATACTAATTTGTAAGTAAATCTTTTTTTATAATTGTAATTGTCGAAAGCGCATATTTTGCACAAAAATACATTATTTTCTCAGGTCTGCAAATTTTAACATTAGATGTTCAAACAAACATCGAGGTATATGTGACATTCATTATTTTAAAATATGTATTTTACGTACGTTTTTTAAGATAATAAAAAAAATTATATTATATTTACAAATAAAATTATATTTACAAATAAATGCGTAGAGCAAAGTTTATTATTCGAAATATATATATATATATTAGATATAGATATTCTTTTTCAAAGAATCATTTTTTAAAAAGTTTAGAGTCTGCTACACAATTCTATCGTTTTTTAAATAAATTGTAACTGTTAATAGTATTGCAAAAATTATATTAGAGTTATATTTCTAAAGACTTAAAATAATAATAAATTTTTCGTGGCGACTCACCATCAGAGGTCCAACTCGCTCGGATGCGAGCGTCGCTGGACCTCTAGTGGTGAGTCGCCACACCCGTATTTTATGTTAAAGTCTGCGTGTTTATATGTATTAAAGAAAAAATTGTTAATTAAATTTTATTTTTTTATATATATCAGACAAGCAAGCAGCAACCTACTTGGTTACATTTATTATCTAATCCACACATCCTCATTATCTCCGGTGCAATTTGGTGCTCAACTTCGCCGATGGCGATACTAGAGCCTTGCTTGCCAATTTGGCTTCGGACTCACATAAAACCTAAGGTTTGTGACAAAGAGATCTTATTTCAAGAAACATATCAATGGCAAGTTTTGGATACAATTTCATAAATTCAATATTTAATTACTACTCGTATAATCATTATCACAATTAATCAGACAATATACATATAACAATCAAAATTCCATTAAATTACAGTTAACATTGATCAATGTTGATGAACTAAGCATAAAAAGTTAGAAACCTAATTTAATTATTTAAGTAATTATTTAAGACGCTCGACGTCTGCAAATAATTCTGCAAATTCTAATTTTGTTAAAATACAGAAAAGGACTGTTTTGATTAACTATTTAACTTTTGCAGAAATGGCAACTAGGTACAGTATTTATACCAGACAGCGTGGGTTATTTAATCGGGACCAACTTCTTCGGCGTAATAGCGTATCGTTACGGGCGCAGCAAAGTGGCGATCCTGGCTATGTTCGTGGTTGGCGTTAGCGCCATTCTAATCCCGTTGGCGAACACAATGTCGCAGTTGATATTCCCTCATCTGGGAATGGGTCTGGGCATCGGCGTCGCGGATGCAGCTCTAGTACCATTACTAGCCAGCTTAGTAGATCGAAATGGCAATTATGGACCCGTTTATTCGATCCAACAAGTGGCTGTCAGTTTGGCTTACTCCTTAGGTAAGATACTCCAATCGAAAAATTTTGCCTGATTGTATATATAGAACAAAAGAAAATAATTTTAGAGAGTAGAAATATAAAGTGAAAGTCAAATCCGCCCTTGGCAGACGCCAATTCCTATTGAGACAATTTATGGTTAAAAAGAACTCGAATATATTATAGAAAATATATACTGCGTAAACCGCTTTTTTTAAGGACCCATCACAGGCGGCGAAATGGTTAAAGCCATTGGATTCCCATGGGTTATGCGAATCGTGGGCATCGTGAACGTGGCGTATTGTCCGTTGTTAATATATCTCACGTTGGAACGGAGAAAGTTGTTGGCGAAGAAAGAGGAAAAGAAGGATTACGAAACGTTTCAACAATCCATCACACCCTACGAAAGATTTCATGATTCCGACGAAGATCTTTGACAATAAATAATTCACTTTAGCAACAATCACAAACTGAATATCATATTAATTAACTCGGAAAATTTTGTAAATTGTTATGTACGTTAACATTTTTTTCTTTCCATTTCAAGAGATACATTGTGTCGGTTACTCGCTATGTTTTTTGAGACAATATATCTTCTAATTATTATATAATTTTCGCGAGCCATTGTCTTCATTTTAGTAGACAATCGCACATCAAATATCATTAAATCTGTTTTTGGACACCTCAAAATAGTGTCTAGTAATGTTATTGTGTCTCCAATTAAGTGCGCTATACAGAACTATATCTTCATCGTAATTGATAACCCAAGTGAATTATTGGCCGAACAACATCCCCGAGGCTGTCATCCATGGCACGACGATGTTTCTCGGATCGAAGAGCAGGAATTCGCTGAATTCGCAAGAGCGGTACAGGACAAGAAATGCGCGCTTCTGCTAGTGGGAACTGACGACGATCGATTGATCGCTGTAGTCGATAGCTCTGAAAGCTTATTAATGCACTCAATCTACAGCGAAATTCGTTTACGTTGCATTAACAATTCTACACAATGCCGCAAGCATTGACTTGTCATTAGCTCACGTAGATCACCGTACAGTATACAATGTATTCGATCGATCGTGCGTACAAAATCGGAGGATATTACGAGGAATTTGTGCGCGGGATTTAGAAACGCAGGGAAAAATTAAAAATCAATAATATTTTTCCAAATATAAGTGGAAGTATACTTAATTTAGATATTTAATTTCGCGAAATTTTTATATTTTGGTTACATTTGAATCTTTTATTTAAGTTATAGTATTGTAATAATACAAAATAAAAGGATCATTCGTACTTTTAATTATGTATTAGCGTTTTTTAGCTGTACGATTTTTCGCACGCGAACAGTCTAATAATTTCGGTTGTCCGATTGACGTAAATATCGATCGTAGGAAGAGCATAGATAAATCTTGACTATTTTTCTTCGAAGAAATCGGAGGAGAAACGTAAACAGGACGGTGATGTCGTTGAAAGAGACAGAAAGAGAGGAGGCGAAATGGGGCGTAACTTCGCACCCCGGGGGTTTACTCGGTGAACAACGCCGATCATCATTAGCAAGGGTGTTAAACTAATCGCGCCACCGCCATCGTCGCCACGAAAGAAGCTAACATCAACCCCGTGGGCGTATGGGACATATGTGGACAGTATTCTAAAAATGAAGTATCCCTTCGAAAAACTTTGTATATTAATTTAACAGCAGGGCTGGAATTATTAATAGTGCAGAACTAACGTCATTAATTAATCGATGAGTTTGTTACGAAATTATATATCGCTATAATTAACATTGCCTTTCGAATCATGTATGTATATCTTTTTCATAATACCCCAATGTATATTCCGCAAGAGTATACTAATTTCAATTGTAAAATCGATAATAAAACATATTTTCTTTCTTTTCTATGATAGTAAATGACTTTATATATGAATTATAGAAATAATAGCATTAAACAAAGATTGAAAGAATAATTATTTTATTGCATTATGATTTTTTATATAAATTGTGTAACTTTTGTTCACTCTTATTTTATTTCCTTGCAGTTTATTTCCTCAGAGACAATATAATCATTCTTTTTATCATTTCGTATGTATCTGTAATTAGCCGAAGAGATCAATTCTGTTTGATATTCCATAACGAGCAAATAATTATATATAAAGCTAGTTAAATTATCCTATAAATAGAAAATCGATATACGTGGGGTCCATATTGCGACTTCAATTCTATACGAAATAAAGCGCGTCGTGCACAAAAGCTGTCGACCACATCATTAGAAATGAGGTAGGTAAAGAGAACCGTAATAAAACGCAAATGACGACGATGAAGAGAAGAAGGAACGACTGAACGACTAAACGACTGAATGGACGAAAGAACGTCGTACACATATTTAATGGAAGAGCTTGATGATGGTCCAATGGTTTTTTCGACTGCCCCTGTATAACGAAACGTTGATGACCTCCTTTAGTGATGCAAAGCTTCGGAATAATGACAAAATAACATGGTAAAGTAAATAAATGAGATATAGCAATAATGATTGTAGCATACAGAGACGGAAGATGAAGATGACGAGAAGATGAGATCATTTTCTGTAATCTTCCTAATCAAGCATTTTCACTAGATGATTATAAAATAACCTATCCTTCACAAGAAATTTTCTGTTCGTTATATATCGTGTGTTTACATAGTCTTTTTCACAAATACAAAATTCGTATTTATCTACAATACATTTCATGCACGGTTTTTCTGAAGTATCTAAAAATTTAGCTACACTATAAAAATGTATGTGTGTACTAAAGTTTAATAAATATTGATTTGAATAGTGCCAACTAAACTTACTTTACTTACAATCATTTCTTTATTGAGTGAATAAATACATATTTACTCAATAAAAAAAATGATTATTAAATCAAATTAATAGTTAGATAAATTTGAAAATAATTATGCCATAAAAATAATTACGTAAAACTGTAAGGGCTTTACTATTCTAACTAGTTGTTTGAGTGTCTTATATCATTATTTTTATGATCCAAATAAAAATATTTTTAGATCTATATCTAACTAAATTTATAGAAATTTCAGCAAAATCGTTCTTTCAATGTGAATTTGTAAGCTATATGCGTAATATTAAGATATATATATATATATATATATACAGCATGTTTTTGCCAATCGCTTTTGTGTAGATAAAACAGATTAAACTGAATCGAAAAGTCCTCTACCGTTTTGCACAATAGTTAACAAGATATTAATTACTAAAAATTGCCAAATATTGGTCTTGAATAATTTTTTATTCAAATACCATCAACTTTACAAAAAAATTTATTTTCATTTATTTTCTTCTCATAGAACTCTAAAAATTTTTTCAAAATTTTTTATCAATTTTTTAGTATTGCATTTTCTCATTTTTACTAACATGAGAAAATACAGTACTAAAAAATTCTGAAAAAATTTTGAAAAAATTCTCAGAATTCTATGAAAAGAAAATAAATGATTTTTGTCTGTTGCAGTTTTTCTATAAAGTTAATGGTATTTGAGTAAAAAATTATTTAAGATCAATATTTGGCAATTTTTAGTAATTAATATTTTGTTAACTATTACGAAAATTGCAAAATAGTAAAAAAACTTTTCGACTCAGTTTAGTCCGCTCTATCTACACAAAAGCGATTGGCAAAAACGGAACACACACACACACACACACACACACACACACACACACACACACATATGTTCATATCTAATGAGTTTCACGAGTTTCTCTCGAAATGTTCATTCTTAGCACTTGACCTATACGAATAACATCTTTATTTATTCTTTTTTTCAATGAAGGCTTTTCAGTTTTAAACATTCACACCTCTTTTGCGCGTTATCCCAATTCCAACCGCCATCTCCGTATTCCGTGATGCGGCAGAGATTAGTAACGCGGCGTTGCATGCAAGATCGTAAAGTAAACGCGATAAAACGTTAGCCTTCGTCGTCGACCCTGAGCGAAATTTAATGCCTTCATTCAATCCCTGACCCGTTTTCCTCTTCGTCATCGCTAAAAAGTCATTTAGCAACTATCAAATCTCGATGATCCTCTTCGCGATTTTTATTTTCCCCACAATCTTCTTTTTTCTCATTCTTTAAACCGTTATCCCATTTTCGAAACCATAACCCTGGCCAGAATCCAACAGGACGAAATCCTGTCCTAGGCGATATCGATGTTCCTGGCAATTTGTCCACCTATATCGGCTGTGTCACACATATTTTATCGTGTGCGGCTCCGCAAAACTTAATTCGCCGATACGCGAAAATCGAAGCAGACCTTGAGATCCCAAATCCTTTGAATCTTCCTCCATACTTTAATATCATTGCAGAAAAAATCAAGAAAAAGTTGAGAATAATATCCATGTAGTTTGATCAAAATGAATTATTTCCATAAAAATGTTATAATTTAAAAAACATAATTTTGCGAGAAAATATTGAAGATTCTATCACAGCTTCATATTTCTGTGAAAATCCTATATGCGCTCTTTTATTTAACCTTTCATGATACTTAGAAACTTCCACCAATATTAACACCTCGACTTTCATATCACAAAACATTACATAAGTAAGTTAGTCGCAAGAGTATAAATAATTCCTTTTGGTGATTGTAATTATGCAAAATACTTGGATACAACTTTGTAAGTAACGGCAAGACCTCGCAGATTGTCGTAAAAAAACGCTTTACTAAACGCGTGACTTATTTTTGTAACGTAGCAGAAAATACAATTCAATCTTGCTGCATTAATCTCGCGATAGAATTAGAATCGTAGTTAAAATCAAATTGCAAAGTAGATAATGAAAAGAGAAAAAGAAAAATACAAAAAAAGAAGATAAAGCTGTGACAGTTTGACTAAATGACCTTGACGTTATATCTGTTATTCGTGAGGACATCCATTTTAAATCGGAACAACTAATTGTCGACTGGCTGTCCTAAAAAGAATCTTGAGAAATGGGAATTCAGAAATGCGTTTGATTTCTCGTCCATAACAGACATCAATGTAAACACATTGATTTCGGTGGCAAGATTGGACGTCATAGATAGAAGCTCGTAAAATAGATAGTGATCCTTATTCAATTAATCTATTTTAAAAAATAAACAAATAAATAATATCTTTGTCAAAGATAAAAGGATAAAAATGTTAACTAATTAAATAGATAAAAATCATATTAGCATAAATAATAGCAAGAGACCAGACGTGCATCAGTTCGTTTGCGTAATTTTAACATAATCAAGATAACTTCAAGAAAGAATACATATTTCCGACTCACGTATTAATATTATGCAAAGAAGAATCTAAAGAAGACACTATACACTATCTGAATATACAAAATATTCAGAAAACGTGTTCTGTTTTCTCGTACTTGGCAATTTTCTGAGTGAATGCATAATCGATAATGTCTTAGTTAAAGTTTGATAAAAGACTTAAATGCAGAATTAACTACATGTTACATTCAAATTGTATTAATATTTAAGGTTAAAACTTTATTGATTTTGGCAAATTAGGCGTCTCATTTAAATTCGGCCTTGACGGAAAATTAATTGAAAGTCCGATTATCCAAGTATATTATTCTGGAAATTAAAATACTGTGCTAATCTCAGTCAAAAGTGAAAGGAGAAAAACAGCGAAAATAAAAAATTTAAAGGAAAATGTGCGGCACACTGTATATATATATATAGATGTAAACGTCCGATTTTCTCGTGATGGACGTACGTCAAAGTTACGTATGTACGCATGTGCGTATGTTGCGTAACAAACCATACAGTGTTAACACGAAACGCTTGCCAATTAGCATTGATAAGGGTTTACATATAATACCAAATGATTATATGGCATTAAGAGCGAGAAGGATGCGATGATTGTTAGCCGATCTAAATCTTGTTTACTAGAGAACATACCGATGCTGTTTATTCCGTTGACAACACTTAAAATTAATCGAAACTCAGAAGCACAAGAAAATCATAATTTGCGAGACTACTTTTAAATGTCAAGCCATGTTTAAGTAGAGCTTAAAAGTTGTAGATACTCCAGTTCCTCGCTCCAATATTTTCTATGAGGCTAAAAACTAATATCTATCGTAAGTGCGATCATACAAAAAGTCATAAAAACTAATAGGATTATTTCTCATTACGTTGGAAGAAGGATTACTGCAGAATCTCTGTCTCTGTCCCTTTTTCTCTGTTTCTCCCTCTCTTTCTCTCTACGCATCTCAATTATTATATCGAATATCAAAGGCCACGCACGTGGAAAAAAGTAATCTCATTTATTTTAACAGCCCGACTATTAATGATAGATACATCGTGTGGTAACTTTTGGTATAATACTGCCTAAATTTCATGAAAATTTCATGAGTGGAATACCAGTGCTCTTAAGGGCGAAAATGAAATTCAACCGCGTGACGCCGTACACCCGTACAAATATCCGTATTAATAACGACGCACACGTCGATAGTTAAATTTCCCGAAACGCATTAGGAACAGGTGTTCGATTAATGGTTCCGCGCTCGTTAGCTTCCGCAAAACACGCGCGGGAGAGCGAAGCGTGGCGCGGCGCGGCTAAGAGCGAAGCGGGTCGATCGATCGAGCCGCGGCATCATCGAATATCGACGCACATCGGCGGGTGCTTGCGAAATTTCAAGCCAAAAATCTCGCGAGCGGTAGGGAATTGCTGCCTGCCTGCTTGCCTATCTGCTTGCCTGCCTGCCTGCCTGCCCGCCTGCCTGCCTGCCTGCCTGGCTGC